TAATGAAGACGCCAACTTTGAATTTCACAAATAAACATTGGACTGACCCAACATTTACATAAGCATGTTAAAATACTAAATTTATAGTTTCATACATTTGTATGATGCGTTTCATAATATTTAAGTTACAACAAAAATTGCCTGAGCATGTAATACGCGTAACATTTTTATCATAAATCTTATTAACATTCATAACTTAGTAATATTCAGTATATATTAAGTATGCATAGTAAATTTTTCTCTGCCATGTAACTTCTAGAAATTGACAAAATTTAATAGATAATATTAATTCGTCAAAATCAAATTTCGAAAGAATATTTAAAATAAAAATTTTCTTCATTTCTCCCAATATTAAAATTAATTAAAAATACAAAACTCACCTAACTAAAATATTCGAGATCTTAAAAAACGTTTCAGGCTTATCATAAAATCACTGTAGCCCAGTCTTCTTATCATTGTTAAAGAATTAATCCAAAGACACTAAAATAACCGAATAATAACTTCAAACAATATTTAATATCTTCTTTCGATTATAGGATTATTATTAATTAATAAACTCAGTTGAAGTATTCACATTCTTGAAAGCAGCAAATATTCCGTCTCTATTGTAAAATCGCTACTACTCGAATCAGTGTCCCTTTACCACTGTCAATTGGTTAACCTAAAAAAGCTAACTCGATTTAATAAATAATAACTCAATGGTAACTTCAGCTTATTAATACTTAAGTAATTGGTTAAACTCGAACAATCTGTTAATTAGGTGCGAGTGGAGAGCGCAGATGACCACGACAGAACGCGCGAATTCGTCTGGAAAAGATCATCGCACATCGCTCACTTAGTCTCGGAGAAATTATCATCGGCCACAAGGTCTATGCTTCGACCTCCACCTGTTGCAGTCATCGCCGCTTAAATCCTCGTCTTCGTCACCGTTGGTCTTAATGAAACCACCTTAATGTATCGTAAAGCAGGACTTCTCTTTCCTTCTTTTTCAATCACTAATTATAAGAGTCGTCCTATGTTATGGTATATGCTGTTTGTTTATCGAATCCAGAGGACACTAGCGCGCCCTCGTGGCTTCGAATTGAGACAGTCGGACACTCGACGAAAAATCGAAGTAGGTTAATTAGGTTTCGGGAGGCGAATGAGTATGTTAGATAGCAGTGGTAGCTGGGAATTTATTTAAGGATATTTAATAATGTAATTAGGACGTCGAGGAATATATCTGAGTTCTCAATAGACTTCTTAAATATTCCAGTGTAAAAAAATACTCGTATTAAATATTAAATATTTTTTACAGTTTTTTGAGATTTTTGTGTTTTACGATGTTCGTTTCAGATAATAATTCTACTAATTTAACGAGGATATTCAACTGCTTCTTTAAATTCTTTAAACGGATTCTTCAATAATTTCATTAACGATATTGAGGGAAGAAGAATGAAATGAATATAGTTTCTATTTAAAATGAATTTAAGAATTTGATCGAGTAGGTTTTATTATTGCTTGATATTTTTACATTGTAATGTATTTACATATCCAATTTTCTTGCAATTTTAATACTGAGAATTTAAGAGTCAACAAATGGCAAGCCGTTTATTCTTCCTCCATCTTACGTTAAAGAAAAATATTTTTCGAGGTTATGCATTATTTATAAAGAAGGAAGGATAAACTGGTTAAAGATGTGTATTTTCATTTTAGACCAATACTCGTTATTTATTTATTTATTTATTTGTAATAGTTTCTATCGATCATTTACAAAGTCTGAGACATTTTCAATCTGCGATATCAATGTATCTGTATTTAAACCACTTCATGTTACCCGATCCTTAAGACAATTGAGCTTACGTTTATAAATGATTCACTGTAGAATAAATAAGTCGATTTTTTATACTGTTTTATCATTACTGTGTCAATATTTATATATCAATAAATTACTTTAAGATCAGACTCGTGCGCAGAAATTTACCTAAAACACCTGTATTATCCTTTATCGCTATAAAAATAATTTTATGTAAAACATATTATTATTACAAAAATATTTGTTATCAACAAAAAATTTGAAGAATTACTTCGTCAATTACAGCAATATGATAGAGTAATTTTATTTTAATTTTATGATAAAAAATTTAACTCTGAGATAATAAAATTATTTAACAACAAAAATTCTTATAAGTTATTGCGCTTATTATTAATTAATAATTTTCTCAGCGTTGATGTACTTTTAATTTATAAAAAGAGGAACTCTGTGATAATGGAATTATAATTGATCAAAAAATAATAGCCACATAAAAGGAACACGTGATCTTTGTTTTGCTTAAGGCTGTATTTCATAATTTACATAGTTTGAACCAAAAATAAAAGTGAACGGATGAAGGTAAAATGGTTGAAGATATTAAACTATTTTATTGTCGAATGCTATTAATATTTTATAACATTCGTGACACATTTATCTAACGCATAAAAAAAAATATTTGAATGTAAAATTTGTTCGTAATTTCTAAAAATAATACATGTACAAAATGTATACAAATAACACATTTATAAAATGTACTTAGCTTTTTACAAGTCGAATTTATTGCATACATTACAAAATATTATATACAATACCATATGCAAAATCATATGCAATATTGTTTGCAATATGTACTAATTTCAATTTGTAAGTCAATATTAGTAATTAAATACAACAAAAGAATTCGATGGAAAATATTTCTTGATGGTAAAAGATTAAATAATTTTTCTTTTAACTTGCATAATAATTTATGAATATTTTATAATATATTATCGATGAAACAAAACAAGAAAAACATTACTATTGTTTAAATGACAAAAGTATCATAATATAAGCTACGTAATTTGTTCTATATTCTACTAAACAAATATTTACACAGACAAGAAGATATTTTATCTCAATGGGAATAAAATATTATAAATTTAAATCAATCAGCTTTAATAATCAATGATCAAACCTACAGATAAATTAATAAATAACCTCATTATGTATCTATTCTTATATTATAATAAAATCTAATAAATATTTACAATCTGATACTAATTTCTTCTGACGTGTTTCACTTCAGTGAGTCCATGACTCATCAATTTCGGAATTACATCTGATATTCATCTAGATTATTTTTTATAGTTTATGGTATTATATATTAACACTTAGGTCAACTGTTCTCTTTTTATCCAGTAAAAACTAAGATTTAATAATTGCTTAATAATTTCAGATTTTTTAAATTTTTTCATTCGTAGTACGTATAGTCCCCATTATTTTTATTAGTTGAATATAAATAAAATTTCTTTTTGCTTATAATTATTATTGAACGAAATATGTAGTCGTCTTAATTCCACTTCGAAAAATATTTTATTCGTTTTCCAAGAAAATTAAATTCCAAAAATATTATTCCCTGTAATCAAACTTGTATCGATTAATCTAGCTATTATTTCTCTGTCATATACATTCTATATAAAACTATATATACAATAAGTCATAATTGTGTGACGTAAACAAACAAATTCAACTGTTTACTTTATTAGAGAAAAAAGATTATCTGTCGAGAACATACGTTACTATATCTGGCTTATTTATCTCCTTTGCGATTACAAAAACTGGAAACAAGATATTACTGAATCATCTAAAAAAAAAAAGAAAAAAAGCACAAATCGCGTGACAATTTATACAACACTCTGGCACGTTCAGTTTTCAAAAATGGAAGTCAAGATAGTGATCGCATCGTAATTATTTTTGTGGAAATGATTCAATTTCAGAATATAATTAAGGGATTATTTAATTACTGCGATTTTTATATTATCTTCACTTTCTCTTTTACTTTCTTTTTTTTAATAAAACTTATGCTCTTATATTATTATTTATTTCATACATTCCAAAACGAATTTAATTAAATATTAATTATGAATTTATTAAATTTATTATTAAATATAACGTTTAATTTTAAATAAAATAAACATTTTCAATGAATATTCGATCAGTTTAGGAATATTAATTAAAAATCATAAAGTTTTACAATATTTATAATATTTATGTATTTATAATTTTATGATAGTAAGAATAGATATCACATTGCTCACGTAAACAGTCTCGAAATGAACATTACATATTTATTGTTTTGATCTATATATAATTTGAATAATTGACTTACTGCAATAGAGTAATATAATTTTTATTGCAATTTTGTCGAATAAAAGAATCTTATTTTGTTAGATAAAAAATCATCTTTATATAACCTGTGTTGTTAAAAATGTGGTAATAAGTTTAAATATATTATAATTCAGAATTTTCATTATTAATAAAAAAAAAAAGAAATGCTATTGCAAAATCCACAAATACTTTCAGAGTAATTGTTTCAATAATAGCAATGTGTTTAAAACATCGGCATTAATAATATAACATGTGTAAACAATCTGTAAAAATAATTCTACTACTAATTTTGGTTAGATCAAGTTATTTTAAATATAGATAAAGAAAACATTGTTAATTAAACATATTATTTATGTATTTATTGTATGTAAATACAAATTTAATTTCCAAACCTAAATACATTTAATGCAGATTATTTTATTGTACTACTTACTATATGATAATATACAAATATATGTACATACATGTATTACTGATATTATATAGCTTAATTTTTACAAATTTACTCATCTGTTTTTAATTTAGTACTACGAGAACCATGAAGTATTTATTAATTAACAATACCTGTAATATTGTTCATCACTGTTGGATTAACTTCATTCAAACTAATCAACAACAAACAACTCGAAATTCGGTTAAAAAAAGGTTGTTAACATTAAACTCTCGCATTTCTTGATATTCTAGATAATGATTACGAAAAATAATTCCCACAAAAATTCAATCAATTGTATAATCACGAAGGAAGCAATTACAACTTTCCTTTCTTTACTTTTCTTCGAGGCTACAGTAACTTTAACTGCTGTTCGTAAAGTCAATTGAAAGATAGAAAAACGTATCGACTGACGCAAAATGGAGGTTTGAATCTTATCTATGTGTATGTTGCGCACAGTGTATAAATACACGTACAATTTCAGTAGGTCGTGAAGTATATTTTCCTTTCATTTTCTGCAGCAACCAGTTGCGTCTGCGACGTCGTCGTTGGAGGTACTGAAGGTTAGGTTGAGGTTACTGCGTTATATTTGAACTTTCCTCGATTCTCCCTTCCACAAATGTTATTATTGGCGAAACCCGACAGTGCGTAAAGTCCAAGGAGTCGCTGCGACATTCCTACGGTTCGGAAGGGGCACGGTATTTATATTTTTTTAAACTATGCCGACGCTATTTACAAGAAATAATTTGCCAATAATTTTTAATATATTAGAATTAATCATTAATATATTACAATAAACGATTTATTCTTTTGCTGAATATATTCAATTAAATTTTCAATTGGTAAAACGGTTTGAACCAAATTTTAGAATAAATTCTATGTTAATATTAACAAATTAATTAGAAATAATCAATAATATACAAACGTATATTTTTGTATTTTATGTTTTAGTAATGAAAATTATTTTTTTTTTTAGATTGCATTTACACAAGACTTAATTTAGTGAAAGCCTGTTCACATATAAGCTTTACATAATGGGTCCTTTAACAACAAGTGTCAGATACACTTTCCATTCTCTTTGCACAACTGCAGTAAGGGCAATGTCTACCAATGTAATGTTAAATCCAAAAGATGATGTAAAAGAAATAGTACTTAAATATTTGGATGGGAAAGATAATGGTATTGTAGTATTAGGATTAAACCGACCCAATGTTTGTAATGCACTTGGTAAAACTTTAGCTAGTCAGCTAAATGATGCTATCACTTCCATCAGAGAAGATACAAAATTGCGAGTATTAATTATTCGTAGTTTGGTTCCAAAAATTTTCTGTGCTGGTGCAGATTTAAGAGAAAGAGCAAGGATGGATAATTCAGAAATTTCAACATTTGTTTCATTTTTAAGAAATTTGACAAATAATATAGAAACATTGCCAACTCCAGTAATATCTGCTATAGATGGTTCTGCATTGGGTGGTGGATTAGAACTTGCTCTAGCTACAGATATTAGAGTTGCAGCATCAGAAGCTAAAATGGGTCTTGTAGAAACAAAATGGGCTATTATTCCTGGGGCAGGTGGCACACAACGATTACCAAGAATAATTGGGACTTCTAAAGCAAAGGAACTCATTTACACTGCACGTTTAATTAATGGTGACCAAGCTATGGAGATTGGTTTAGTAAACCAAGTAGTTCCACAAAATAAAAGTGGTGATGCTGCTTATCAAGCTGCTTTAACAATTGCCAGAGAAATTTTACCTAATGGGCCAATTGGTATAAAGTAAGTATAAAAATTATATTAAATAATTTGTTTACTTAGATATAACATTTACAGTCTCAAACAAATAACAATGTTAGAATTTATTTGACAAAAAACCTCTTTTAACTACAAAAATTCTTACAAATTTATAAACATAATAGGCAATATTTATATTTTATTTTTATTATATTTTAGAATGGCAAAAACAGCAATATCAAAAGGCCTTCAACTACCTATTACAGATGGACTTGAAATTGAAAAACAATGTTACAGCAAAGTTGTGGATACAAAAGATAGAATTGAAGGACTTGCAGCATTTGCAACAAAACGTATTCCTATTTATCAAGGAATATAAATATAGAAAAATGAAATATGATGTATTTTACAAGTTTGTTACGCTTAATTATTGACATATCAAGAAAGTTTTCAAAGAGACTAAATGCAAAAAATATGCCATCTTTTACTACATTATTATAATACAATTAATCTTGATATACATGTTTACAAAAATTAAAGTATATTTGTATTTAAACAAAAACATATAAAATAGAAAATTAATGTCTGTTATAGTATAAAAATAATATTATTAAGGTTTATAACTTTAAGTATTTTTATATGTGATTTAAAATTTCAGAATTTTATATAGTTTATATTGACGTTGTTGTTATTGATATACATATATATATGTATGTATGTATGTATATATGTATACACAAAAATTTATTTTTAAAAAATAAAATTATTATATTTATAACATCGAATTTCATTTTATTTTATTTATATCGTCGGATAGTTAACATTAATATATTAAATAATTACAAAAATATGTTATGAATAAAAACTTACACATCTAAATTACACGATTTTGAAAAATATATATATGTATATATATTCTTTATTTTGTTTCTTTACGTAAAATTTCGATTTTCTCTTCACGTAATATATTTTTCTATACACTTTTTAGGTCTATGAAAGTATTCAGGTATTAGATTAATTAATATTCAGTTATTAATATTAATTAATAATTAATATTCAGATATTAAATTATACGCGAACTTAAACTTGAAAAACCGGAAAGTAACATTATAAGTAATATTACAAGACCCTCATATTTCAATAAACCGACTTTGAAATTTCAAGAAAAAAGAAAAGAGATAAAATAATAAATGAATAATATAGATTATATAAATATACAAATACTTGTAAAAACCAATGCCCTGTTAAAGACTATATAATACGTAACATAGTATATAATGCAATAACTTTGATATTACATTTTTGTTATAGATTTCATTCCATAATATTAACAAAACAAATAGTTAAATAACTTTTAAATACCATAATAGATAAAGATTTAAAATTAAATCTATTAAAGATCTAGTAGACAATAAAATTCGGTTTTTCATAAGCTTATTTTTATAATTCAAAATTATTCTTTAATATGATAAAACTAAAAAATTAGGTAATCTAAGCCTTTTTATTGTACCTAGAAAATTTATTTCCTTCAAAAAATTATTTTGATATTAAAAATTGAATACTATAAATGGAATGCTTGCTAGGAAAACACAAAAAAGAATATTAATATAATATATAAAAATACCTTGGGTTTCCTAATTAAAATATTTAATATATTAAATTCAGTATATTATGCACATTGCATTGAAGTTTCCAATTTTTCTCGTTCCCTTCTCTCTTTAATAAGTGCAATAAGGATGTTAAGTTCCTTAATTGTATCTCCTGGACAAGTAACACGATGTCCGACAGTTAAGTCACTTTCATAAATTTCATGATCATTACCACCTTCTGCTGTTTTGTCACCAAAAAAATGTATCTCATCATACCCCTGAATGTGTCTAAGACAATATGTTTTGTCCCAGCCAATAGGAAAAATATCAAAAGATATTTGACCTCCTTTACACATAAAATGAATATATTTCCAATTAAAATTTGAAGAAAGCAGTACATATTATATTTAGTATAAAAATCTCACTTACCAATACTGTATGTCAAAGCAAGGTTTGGAAATTCTTTCTTAAGAGCTTGAATAAATTTCTGACGAATTTGATTCTCAAGATCGTATTCATAAAACTGAATACGTTCTTTTTGTGTACAATTACGACCTACTGGAGATACGTTGAGCATTCCTGTTCTAAATTCTACAAATGTTCCACGTTTGAATGGTAAATGTAATTCTGATATATATTTTAAACAAAAATTGATTAAATCTTGCAATGCCTCTTCACCAATAACACTTTGAATTGTCTAATATCAAAATAAAATTTTAAAAAAATTATCCTGAAATATATGAAAAATTTTATAAGTTTAATAATGATTTGTAGTTATATTACTTACTTCTGTGGGTAATTGTTTACTATCTCTGAAAGCAATAAGACCATTTTCTGCAAAAATATATTTATATTTTTCAAATATACTTCTACCACCTAATTGTTCTTTGATCTTATTTAAATCTGATCCTCCAACTACAGCTAAGTCAAATTCTTTCTTTACCGTTCCCAGCAGAAATTTTTCCACAGATGGCTTAATTACCTAATGAAAAATGAAGTGAAAGTTTATTTATAATTATTTATGTCAATTTATAATTATACAAATATACTTTATTTAAATTATGAACAACTATACCTGTCTGGGATCTGTAAGTGTGCCATCCACATCAAATAAGCATATTATTTTCTTAGTCATAGTAAAATGATATTGCTTACTCACTTAATCTGAAATATAAATTTATAAATTAAATCTCTAACATGAAATAAATATTAGAATCTGAGGAAAAAGCAGTTATAATTATTAAAGTGTTTATAGAACTAAATACCAAAAATTATGAACAAGAAATATTTATTACTGTTTTATCTTTAAAACACTACCATTAAAGCAAATGAGTTACTCTTAAGTCACGTGCAAGGTGTCTCTCATTATTATATATTAACAATTCCCCTCCACAGTCCTTTTTCTGACAGATTGGATTATATACAAACATATCTTAATCTAAATTATTTATACATTTCGAAGTTGACAAAAAGTTAAAAAAATATAAAATATATTATAATTTTAATATAGAATGTAAATTTGATCTTAAAAATTATCGGCGAATTTTAATGTTATATCAGTAATAATATGACGGATATAACCTATGTGTATAATTCATTGATGCCCATACAAAAATCACATTAATATTTTATTACACAATATTTCAGATATACTTAAATTAATATTTCATTTCCTTTGGTTTTGTTAACTATGAAATAAATTAAATATTCTATATATAATAAAATTAAAAAAAAAAAAAAAATACCGACGGTTCTTGCACCGATACGTGGCTAATTTGACGTGCTCTTTATCAGTTCTGTCTATATCTATAAAAGTACAATGTTAAAAAGGAATAAATTATATTACTTTATCTGCCTTATCTTATTAGAGTTGCGTAATATAAACGCAAACGCACCGATTAAAAACGCTGTTCTACTTTTGGGTAAAAAAAAGTTATTGTATTTTGTAATTTCAAATTTATAAAATTTCAGTAAAAAATCTATAAAAAATTTAATAAATAAAATTTAAAAATCATTACAAATCGAATCATTCGAAATATTGTTTTATATATATACATGAAAGTTAATAGTTTTTACTTATATTATCTTCAGTTGCAAATAATATTACTTTTTCTATATTTTATAATCTTATATTTATATTCAATTTTATTTTTCATGTAGCTGATGATGGAGGATTTGAAATGCGATCATACCTGAATAAAATTTGTCAAACTCCTAATTTAGATAAATTGGCAAAAGAAAGTTTGTTATTTAATAATGCATACTCTTCAGTGAGCAGTTGTTCTCCTAGGTATCATTATTATACATTATAATTGTTTAAGATATTTTGAGATACTATCACATTTTTACTTTACAATATTACTTTCATAATTTTTAAAAATTTTAGTCGTTCTGCTTTACTGACTGGTTTACCAAGTCATCAAAATGGAATGTATGGTCTTCACAATGGAATTCATCATTTTAACTCATTTGAAACTGTACAAAGTTTACCAAAAATATTAATGAAAAATCATATAAGAACAGGTATTTTTAGATTTAATAGCAATGAATTTAACAATTATCTATGAATATTTTATAGGTATCATTGGTAAAAAACATGTAGGTCCAACCAATGTATATCCATTTGATTTTTCACAAACAGAAGAAAATAATTCTATACTTCAAGTTGGTCGAAATATTACTAAAATTAAACTTTTGGTCAGAGAATTTCTTTCTCAGAATAAAACACAGTAAGAATTTGTTTCCTATAAATAAAAAAAGTTCAAATTTTCATAATTCAATCAAATTTAAAAAAAGGAAGAAATAAATATAATACTAAATTTTTAGGCCCTTCTTTTTATATGTTGCATTTCATGATCCTCATCGATGTAGTCATTCACATCCAGAGTATGGGAATTTTTGTGAAAAATTTGGTAATGGTGATATTGGTATGGGTACTATCCCGGATTGGTATCCAATATATTATCAATGGGAACAAGTCAAAGTACCATATTTCGTTCAAAATACAGAAGCTGCTAGACGTGACATTTCTGCTCAATATACCACCATTTCTCGTTTAGATCAAGGTATTCTTATTAAACGTCATTTAATAATATTTATATCCAATTAAAAATAATGATAGAATATAACAAGCATTCATTGAAATAAAATTATATTATATATTAAAATTAAGTATTTACATGTATATTAAATTATTAAATATTAATAAGTAGCATAAATCAATTAAAACAGTAAAAAATCAAATTAAGAAAATTGCCATTAAAATATTTTATAAATAATAGAAAAAAATATTAATTACATCTTTTCTTTCTAGCTACTAATGATATTAATAAAAAAAAAACAGTGCAATTAAGTACAATATTTTTTTAAAAACTATATAACCATAACTTAAATTAGATGATGATTTTAGTTATTATATAGTGATATATAATTACAATAATAAAACAACTTCATAAGTACTAATTAAAAAGCAGGAAAACGTAGAATTTTTGAATTCATATAACTTGTTTGTACAACATAAATACTATATTATTTAAAATCTTGTTTTATTATCTTTGAATGAAAAATCGTATTAAATACCAAAATATATACAAAGTATAAAAATAAATTACAAACAACAATTTAAAAGTTAATAATACTAATAAATACTGAAATTTTTATAGGTGTAGGATTAGTCTTAAAAGAACTGGAAAATGCTGGCTTTAAAGACAATACATTAGTCATTTACACATCTGATAATGGTATACCATTTCCAAATGGTCGAACAAATTTATATGAACCAGGTACTACTAAAATTATTTGAAATATCATATAAATATTTAAATAAATTTTACTTCTTTTTAATAAGATTGAAAACATTTACTAATTAAATTTATTATATTAGGATTGGCAGAACCTATGATGATAAGGTCACCAATTTCTAACCATAGAAAAAATAGTGTAACATACAGCTTAACATCTTTATTGGATATTGTACCAACATTATTAGACTGGTTTAACATACCACATATGAATTTATCTCCATTTGATACAAATGAAGTAACTCCTCCTCCTTTAACTGGAAAATCACTTCTTCCACTTCTTGTTCAAGGTAAATTTAAATCATCTATTTTCAGCATTACGATATCCTCTAATATTGCTTTTTTATGCCTTTGTATATTTGTAGAACCCACAGAAAATGACACAGCTATTTTTGCCAGCCAAACACATCATGAAGTTACTATGTATTACCCCATGCGTGCTATTAGAACTAAAAGACATAAGCTCATACATAATATTAATTATAGAATGCCATTCCCTATTGATCAAGACTTTTATCTTTCACCAACTTTCCAGGTAACCTGTAAAAGGAAAAATTAGTAATATGAGGAAATTACATAATAAATCATAAATTAATGAATATGAATATCCCTAAATTATAAATATAATGAGTATTCTTTCTTTCTTATTTAAAGGATCTTTTAAATAGAACTAGAAATAAACAACCACTCCCATGGTATAAAACATTAGAAAGTTATTATGAGAGACCAGAATGGGAATTATATGATCTAAAATATGATCCAGAAGAAAGAAATAACATTGCTTTTAAATCATCAGAAAAAGTAATTAAAGTCAAAATTTTATCTACACTTAAATAATTTCATTCTAAAGTACTAAATTATATCCAAATTATTTTTTAGCAAACATTCATGGATTTACAAGAAAGGTTATTAAAGTGGCAGAAAATAACTAATGATCCTTGGCTTTGTGCACCTAGAGGAATCCTTGACAGTATTGGAAATGCAGATCCCCAATGCATGCCACTTGAAAACTTTATTTGAAAATGTATTGATTATTCATTGCAATATAATACTCATATATATTCAATTTCATTGATGTATACAATGCAAGCGATATATTTTTTTTACTATATTTTTTTATATAATATTATAAATAGAAATGGTCTCAAAGTATCTAAATAAATGTTAATAACAGAATTAATACTTTTTATAACTTTGTGACTCTTATATAATAATAGATTACACATAAATTACTTCATTGTATTAAATTATGAAATAGAAACATCAAAACATTTTTAAATATGAAAACAAACATTATTTGTAAAATATACATATATACAGTAATATATATTTGATAATTTGTATATTGTTTTTCTTTAATGCAGATAATATATGCAAAATATATATGCAAGTATATATATTTCATATATTAATAAAGATAAAAAAATATTATTTATATATATTAACTAGTTGCTGAAATTAGCACAGGTATAAGTATTTAAGAAATTTAATAATTTTCTTTAAATTTACCTATTACAATAATTTATAATCAAAAAATAGGTCGGGATATAGACGTATTTTTCATATCCTTTTCACGATGTTTGAAAAGGATTTCGTTTAATTGACGAACATACGTTGACGATTTGTTTGCAGATTTTTCTACTGCCTTCAGTTCCGTTGATATTTCATTCATCTGAAGTTCAAACAAATCGATTAAAATTGCTGCGTAAACGCGAACATTAATATATTCATCATTCTCTTGCAAAGTCTTACATATTCCTTATATCCCATATATCTGTTATATTTTTGATTGTTATTATAAATTTGTTTCACTTGTATCATAAAAACAAGGCAGAGTAAAAGACCACCAAGCAATACGAGCAAATTTGTATTTTGAAAGCTACGTAAAACAAGCATCACTCACGTTGAGGTTAAGTTTATACTCAAAAAATTTGATCAATTACAACAATGACACGTAAAATATCCCTTAAAAATACTTTTATCTGAATGTACTTATACTAAAACCAAAAACTTCACATTGCATTACATTTGCAAATATCTCACTTGTAAAATAATTACTATCGTATTATATATCGCAGACAACGTAATAACTGTAGTTAATTTAAAACGTCAGACTAAGCACTAGTAGTGCCACCACTACTTAATTTAAATACAATTGAATAAATTTCATATTATTAATTCATAAATATCTGTCTTATATGATGGAATTTCATAAATAATACGATTGAAATTTTTATTCCATGCATAATATTTATTAAACTCTTAAGTAAACAACCCAATAAAATTTGAACAAGACGAAAGTGTTTAATATTGTATGTATACAAAATGAAGAACATTTCAGTACACTTACCTAGCTGAAATAAATTGTAGTTTCTAAAATATATTAACCATGAAATAAACAATATTCCATGTAACAGAAGAATAACATAGTTATAAATTATGTTAAAAATTAAAACTAAGTTTGATATATACACAATAAGTTAATTGTATACATTTTAAATTGCGTTTCTATTCATCGAAGTATGTAATTGTCCTTAAATGTCGTCTTCATTTCTTTCAATTCCATTGTAAGATATCGTCCTTGTTTGAAGGGACGTTAACTCGTTCTGAAATTTAAATAAATTTTACATCAGTCTCAGCGATTGTTTCTGCTACAAAATATATTATTTGAAATATTATTTTATGCATTTATTATGTCATATTTCATTAATTCTTTTTTTTCTTGAAAATTGTATCATTTCATGATTACATGTGTAGCAATATATTTTATTTCGGGCGTAGTATAGCGTTAAAAGAATTGATGAATTGCACTAAAGCAAGCGAAATAGATAAAAGCAGGAAATAATTTTTTAATTCCATGTATGCAAGTAAGCTTATAAGATATAAACAAATATAAAATAATATAGACGCATGACAATAATAACAAAAATTACAATAGGAGTTTAAGGGATTTTAATTAGTTGATATTAAAGGAATTGCAAAATAATGCAAAATAGTAATAATAGCTTAATAAAAATATTGTTAATAAAAATAATAATATCTTAACAATTATTTAACAATTATTTTTATTACTCGTTTCCTTTTTTTTTTATTATTATTTTGTTTTACATATACAGGGTGTCCTATTTTAACTTACATAACGAAATATCCCGAAGACTAAACTTTATCGAAAAAAAATATTTTAAACAAATATATATAGTTATTTAATACAGTAGAATTCTATTCAGTTAAATAAAATTTGATTGTTCTGTTCATTTAATTTGTCATTGAGTTCTTATTAGAACTATTATCAAGAAGTATCTACTTACATCAACAAATAAATAAATTTAATAAATATTAATAATTTATATTACCTTTAATACTTGAAATAATTCAAATTTGTATAAATTAGATTAACTCACTGCTTGAAAACTTAAAAGATGTGATTATTTTCATAACGAAATAAATCTAGCAGGTAGTTAATTAATTAAGGAGCAAAAAAATTACAATCTTATAAATATGTTCACTTATTAATTTCACAGCTTGAAGACATTAATCTAGATGAAATAAATGAACGAATTCTTAAAACCAGTTTCACGAATGTCAGCTCCTATTACACGAATGAGAAGTTATTGGTAAAAGCGGAGAATTGGTGACCTTTTATCATCCAAACTATCATGTCTTTTGATATATTGTAGTAAATGGAATTCCACTGTAATTAATTCGATTGTTACCTTCGTCAGCTTCTGGCCCACATTGATTCCTACTGGAAAATCAACGTTGAAAAAAAGAATAATTTTAATATCATTGTATATAGTTCAAATACAGTACCTACGTATATGTTGCTAACAATTCATGATCATAGTCAATATATACTTATTGTTATATTGTTTTTGTCATAGATACAATTCTTTCATAAATTTCATATTTTTATTTTTAATACGTTTAATTTTGTACCCTTTTATCTTCTATCTTAAATTAAATTAAATTAAATTAAATTCCAAAGTTAATATTCTTTAATTAATTACAATTTAATTACACTTCAGGTCTAATTGAAAAATCATTAAAGCTATTCGTAGCACATAAAGCTTTTATAACTTTGTTCTTCATTTTAAACATATCTCTCTGTTTAATAATAAAATTTAATTAAACAAATTTGAATACGATTTAAATTAAACGCAATTCACCGTTTATAATTTGTTAAATAAATTCTAATTGAATTTAATAAAATAAATTTTCAGAAAATTAAAAATAAATACAATTCTTTGTCCACAATTTGTTAAAAAGATTCTACTTAAATTTAATTAAACAAATTCCAATAAAATTTAAATTATAAACACAATTCTCTGTTAAAGAAATTAAAAATTTCACATTCTTCTTCCTGATGTATTTAATATTTCTCACTCTTTAATTTCTTATTTGCAGGTGTTTCAATCATTATCAAGAAAAATTCTTGTCCTTATCATCCATCCTTATCAAGAATGCCAATGAAAAGAGTTGATTCTCGACAAAGACGTTGCATACCTAATATGATTAATGAGGAATATTAGGCTGGTACATCCGAAATGTAATTCTTTTAAAATTTCAAGTATATACGTACATACATATTTCTTGAAACGTGACGTATTTAATATTTAATTCTTTTTCTCATTTAGAAGAATCATCAGGCGTGGAATTCAAGAAGCTCTTCGAATGCTGCTTTTGCAGTTTCTTCATTTCGAAATGGTTTCTAAAAATAATCCATGTATCTGGAAAAATGACGACACAAGTGACAAAACAAAAGGAATAGGAGAGATGTGACAAAATTCTAAACCATCCTGTTTACCTTTATGAAATAACGGAATGGCTGTCTAAATTCGTCCTGGTCTCTGCATATCGTTTAGCTCATGCGAAACCAGTTTGTCCATATTTTTTACGTTTATTTATGCAAATTAGGAAATACTTTAGTCTTGTTTGAAATATCATCGCTCTCGTCGTTTGTTATGGTCTATTTTCAGTGATCATTCTAAAAATATCATCTATAACATTATTCGATTTTATCCTTTGAGTTATGACATTTAACCCTTTGCACTCTAGAAGCACCCTTCAGTCACCATTTGATAAAATTTCGAAGATCGATATTAACCCATTTGCATCCAAGCGCGGAATATTCCGCAAGTTATGACTGTCGCCTATCACCGAGAGCGGAATATTCCGCGAGCTACGACTGTCGCCTATCACCGAGAGCGGAATATTCCGCGAGCTACGACTGTGGCCTATTACCGAGAGCGGAATAATCCGCGAGCAGACTTTTTCCATTACCAGTTGCAGAATATTCTTCATATGCCACAGATCACGTTTGATCCCTTTTGTGAGCATCTCATCTACATCGGTTCATTATATTCTTAACAAGTTTTACTTTTGTTGTGAAAATCCTTTTAACTGCCATTATGAGTAGGGGCTGATACGCGCGCGGTGATACGGGCTAGTCGTCAATTGAACGTCGCTGATGCCTGAACACGGCACCTTAAGTAGAGCCATGATGCAAATGGGTTAACCGTTGAGTCCCAAGCAGCGCGATCGCGCTGTTCAGATTACGTGTCGAGAAAACCCAATACATTTCGAGTGTTCTCGACAGCTGACGGTGCGTCACCGACTGTCGAAGTCGAAGCGCTATCGCGTCACGTGACCATTCGTCGCCATAATGTAAACGAAGCGCTATCGCGTCGCTTGGGATATGTCGGCGTAAAATAGAAGAAGCGCTATTGCGCTGTTTGGATTCTTTCGTACCCACTTAGAGGCAGCGCGGTCGCGCTGCTTGGGATTAGATGACGTGTTTTTCCAAAACCCTCTGGGACTCAAACGGTTAATTAATATGTCAAATTGAAGACAATGTAACGATATGAAAGATATCCCTACTCTTCTTTAGTCAAAAAATCGTCAAGTGCAAAGGGTTAAATGTATTCTTCAATGAAATACTGTTAGCTTTTAATTCTATAAATCGACGTTGAATTATAGTTTATTCGATACCTGTAAAGGCTTTCGTAAATACTAAATTTATATTCTTAACAGATTTTTAAATTCTAAACTTATAAAAATGTTATGCGAATATCTTCATAATACATGACATAGAAAATGCAAGTTCTGACAGTTTTATTACGGGAACTTGTAATATGTAGTACATAATATGTAAAATATAACTTTTTTTTCCCAGTTTGGTTTATACTAGTTGAATCTCTGATAAAATTTATAACTTTTTGATTTCAAACTTTTCAGATGTAATGCGATATTTCATATGCAAAATGTAAAAAATGGTCGATTGACGATGAAATAGGTTTCATTATACAATAGTATATCGTCATATTTAGAATACGTGTACTATAATAATTCTATTCGTTTAATGCAGTTTATAACAATTTATATAATAATTAATATAATATTTAACAATTAATATAATATTTAATATAATATTAATATAATATTAATTAATACAATTAATATAATATTGCTAATACAAATTTGACACTTTTTGATATTTAATTTTTTAGATACGATGTGATACTTCCTATATATATATATCGATTTAAAGATACAGTTGATTGATGTACCATTCGGATCAATCATATAAAATGATATCAATGACAATTTTATTATAGTATTTTGTAATGTTCAAAGTACATGTACTAAGTATATAACATTTCTTTTATTTTTTAACGTAGTTCATAATTTTTCAGCATTTTGTAATATTTAATATGAGTGTATTTATATACGTAATTCTCCTTTTGTTAGTATCAGTATTAGAGTATTAGTATTAGAGTAAGACTATTCAAACTATCCGAAATGATATGTTCAAAATTTTTTGTTCTTACAGTTACTGAAAATATGAAGCTTCTTTCAAAATTAATAATTTTTTCATTGAGATAAGAATATAATTATATATAACTATATATTTTCATTATCTTAGTTTAATTATTATTATTTACATACATTATAGATAGGTAGTTTTAGCTTTAACGTGGTTTATAGTAATTAAGTATTGGAAAAAACTAAGACTAGGTAATTTCAAATTTCTTAGATGCACATAATGTGTTATTTTATATGTTTCAATTGCAAGGATGGTTAATTGACATTTAAATCTTTGAGATTTCAAAAATGCTGAAGATATATGGTAAATGATTCAAATTTCTCCACTAGTAAATTTTCTTTTACACAAGTTAACTGAAATTGTCGAAAAATGACTATTTCGTAGGATATTTTTAATAAATATTTTTATTAAAAAAATTTTATATGCTTCTCCATTATATACTGAACAACACGGTGCATTTCGAACAATTGCTCTTCTATTGTTTCCTTAAATATTATCCCATAATCATTATTGTTTTTGTATTACTTTAAGTATTTTATAGAATTAAATAGATTTCAAAATATCTTACTTTTTTAGGTAACCTTATGAAAAGGAATAGTAGAGTTCTGCTTAACCGGCATTCGATTATCCCAATTACCCGAGTAACCGACACATTTGTTCTACCAGTTTTTCGACAACTGCTATAAATTATTTTTCACACAAATAAAGGAATTCGTTAATTAAGTATTTATTTCTAGATCTGGGTAAAATTTATTTCAAATAACGTTAATTGTTATTTCATGA